GGTTAGTATAAAGCTGGGGTTGAACTCAGCCGTCCCCAAGGTCCACACAAGAAATTTATTTAATGAGACCCTGTCACTTCTGATTGCTCCTAACTTCTTAGCTGCAGATAGCTTGGATCGAATATCACAGACGCAATGGAATCACTGACAGAAATAGACACGATATAATACCAGCACACGTGACTATTAAAGCTACGTGAGTGGTATTACAGGTCGCCGATCACACGCCCTTCCCTGTTCACTGTTAAAGCGCCCAAGGGCCGGAGACGTTAGGTTACTATTAAAGCTACCTATCGCTTCCGACACTATGGTATAGACTCACGTGACTGTTAAAGCTACGTGAGTTATACCCCGTACAACCGAGACACAGATACTATTGAAGCCCTGAATCCGGCTTACCTATGTCTACCAGTCGTGCCGCTGAATATATTAATAATTCTTTAATTTACTTCTTTAATAAATCAACAACCTCAGTTCTTTGTGTATATTTCTTGGTTTTAAAATAAAATTTAAATTTTCACAGATTAGTAGCAATTTGCTATAAGTTATATATTAACAATTCTTTAATTTAATTCTTTAGTAAATCAACAACATTAGTTCTTTGTGTATATTTCTTGGTTTTAAAATAAAATTTAAATTCTCACAGATTAGTAGCAATTTACTATAAATTATATATTAACAATTCTTTAATTTAATTCTTTAGTAAATCAACAACATTAGTTCTTCGCGTATATTTCTTAGTTTTAAAATAAAATTTAAATTCTCACAGATTAGTAGCAATTTACTATAAATTATATATTAACAATTCTTTAATTTAATTCTTTAATAAATCAACAACATTAGTTCTTTGTATATATTTCTTAGTTTTAAAATAAAATTTAAATTTTCACAGGTTAGTAGCAATTTGCTATAAATTATATGTTCACATGGTAATCTCAGCTGATGAATCCAACACCACAATTTTTCTCGTACCTTTAGTCGCCGAACAAAACAAAAAGAGACCACTTCTTCCTGGTGCACGCACTTTTATACCGTCAACGATCAACGGTGCCAGCTGTAGGTACGTTAAAGTTCAACGACCGTTAATCGAAGCTCGTTAACTGATCTCCCTGCAATGCACCAGTGACAGTTCAGCTTTAGGGCGAATTCCATATTTTACTCTTGTGGAAGCTGGAACTTGTTTTTTTCTTCACGATTTGACCTAGTTCCACAACTTTGCACCAAAGCTTTCTTAGTTTGACAGTTCTGTTTTGATCTCGTTTGTTGTTTATTCTTTTTTTTAACAATGTGTTGTGCCAGTCGAAATGTTTTTAAAGCGTGGTTTTTTTTTCCTTTTAAAAAATAAATTATAAACAAATAATTATGATTATAATTGATAGAACAATCAATTTTAGAAGAAAAATCTGTGAATCATAATGCATATTAATTCCATTGCTGGATGTATGTTGTTGTGGGGTGGCCTGTTGCGTTTTTGGTGTGGCGTGTATTGCGAGAGGCTACGGTGAGTTGGTTAAGTTAATGTGCTTATCCGTACTTAACAATTTTTTTATTGTAGGAACCGTCGATTATATGTATTCAAGTGAGTGTTTCTTTTATTGTGTAGGCAGTTATACCCACGATGTTGTAACGATCAAATTTTTGGTTGACAAAATTTTGGCCGTTACACTCCCTCCTTTCTTTCGGGAAACTGATTTACCCTGAACCACTACCTGCCAGCGTGATTTCTGTGACGTTGCTTTGGACTCTTATATATTTTATAGAAGTTGTGTTGCTCTTTGGTGTGGTGATCGTCCTGTTGAAATACACTTTTTGCGATGCGTGATACTCGTAAAATACTCTTACTTGTTTTAGAAGACGGATTGTTTTTTCCTTTAGGTGAGTAGGACTATTTTCCTTTTGCTGTGGTAGTTATGTTAATGGTAATGATTGGGTAAGACTAAGTATTTCATCATATATTTGACCTTTTGTCGAATTCGTTTTGATAATTTTATCCTTTTGCTTCCATGGTATTAGCGAAGTCTTTGACGGTGCTTGTTCTTGCGAGATGTTAAACACTTCTTGTACTGCGTGCTCTGGGGTATCTAGTAGCTGTTTTCCATCTGGACCTGGCATTACTGGACCTGGCATGCACTTCGGTGTCGTTGTACTTCTTCCATACTACTAGGTCCTGAATCTTGCTGTTGACTAAATTCTGCTGGCATTTCGTTGAATTTAAGATTTGGTTGTCGTGGTAATTCTGGTAGTTGCTTTTTGATATGTTTTAGATCTTGGTGCTGTGCTGCTTGTTCTTGTGTACCTTGATGTTGTTTTACATCAGGTGCTACCATTATAAAGTAAATTTTATTTACCTTAAAATATATATTTGCGTAAATAAAAATTTACTTTATATATATATATTTTTTATACGAAGTTAATATTTATATGAAATGAATTGCTAGACATAAGTTATTTTTATACAAAATTAATGTTTATATGAAATGAATTGACTATATTTAGGCTAGAGTTATTTTTAGAATTTATTTTGAATAAAAGGAAAACAATAGTTATAAAATTTCGTCTACGTAAAAATTATTTAAACAAATAAACAAAGCCAACCGCGAACATACGCACAAACGACAAGCAAAACGAAGCCAACCGCGAACACACGCACACACGCACACACGACAAGCAAAACGAAGCCAACCGCGAACACACGCACACACGACAAGCAAAACAAAGCCAACCGCGAACACACGCACACACGACAAGCAAAACAAAGCCAACCGCGAACACACGCACACACAACAAGCAAAACAAAGCCAACCGCGAATACACGCACACACGACAAGCAAAACAAAGCCAACCGCGAACACCCGCACACACGACAAGCATAACAAAGCTGACAGCGAATTATACTTGTGCGGTTGTGCGTGCAATTAAGCAAAGCAAAGTGTCGTATATAAATAGCGGAGATTTTATATGAAAAATCACTTAGCACCGGAACACCGAAACGAGTAGTACTCTACTCCAGCGCTAAGTCTTTTTTTTAGAAGCCCATGGTGTTTCGACGCTAAGGCTTAATAAATCAGTAAAAGGTATTAAGTAGATTTTATAAACGCCTTTGATGTTTTGACGTCTTTGGCTAAAAACTAATTGCGTAGATTTGGAAAAATACCCTTTGATGTTCTGACGTCTTTGGGTAAAAATTATTGAATAGATTTTATAAACGCCTTTGATGTTTTGACGTCTTTGGCTAAAAACTAATTGCGTAGATTTGGAAAAAACCCTTTGATGTTCTGACGTCTTTGGGTAAAAATTATTGAGCAGAGTCAAGCTTAAAATAAATTATCGAGTAGAGTCAAGCTTAAAATAAATTATTAAAGAAATCTTTTTAATAAATAAACTTTTAAAATAATAACAATCAAACAGCTTTTAATTTTCTCTTGGTTTACCAGCTTCGAACTGGTCAATAGAACAAATTTATTGCAACGACCCGGGCCACGACTGAGTAATACCTCAGCAAATTTAAAACGACAAATCCGTGTCGTTACAATTGGCGCCCGAGCAGGGACCTGAGTTCGAGAATAAACCAAACAGTAAAGAAAACCAAGATTAGTGATGTCGGTGGATTTAAAGGTGACCAGTGACCAAGAATCTCGAAGACCTCCTACTCCCAGCAAGTCGTGGTTATACAACCTACGAAAGGAGGAGCTCATCCATTACTTGGACGAAATGGAATTGGGTACAACCGGTTCTGTAGAGGAACTTCGACGCAGGCTGGCGGCATATATTGAGGAAGAGGACTATGACATGGCAAGAAGAGAAATGTTATGGGAGCTCGCACGAAAACACACCAAAACGATACCAACAGTACAAGAGCCTTGCAACGAGGTGCAGATCGTACTCCCACCTATTACGCAAACCATGGAGCAAGTTAGGAAGTGGGCCATCAAGTATGATGGTGGCAAGGACCCACTTATGTTTATAGAAAGGATTGAAGAGTTGGCCGACGTATATGGTATTAACGTAAATCTAATGCCACGGACCATGCCAGAGTTATTAAGAGACAAAGCACTGATTTGGTATCGTAACAACAACAGGCAATGGAAACTATGGTCTACATTTAAGGCCGATTTTCTGAAATTCTTCCCACCGGTGCGGTACTTCGAAAAATTAGAGGACGAGATTCGTGCCCGCAAGCAAAAACAACGTGAGGGGTTCAAGGATTTCGTCATCGTCATGCAGGACCTAATGCGTCATGCCGGCCTCGACATGTGTCAACAACTGGACCGAATTTATCGGAACTCTGGCACGGATTACCAGATGTATATTAAGCGTCGCGACTTCGCAAGCCTGGATGAACTAGTTGCGCTGGCCGAAGACTTCGAGATACTTCGTCTGGAATAGGAGAAATCCAACCATCATAAAGTTCGCGAAGAGCGTAACCACATTGTAAAGCTCCAGACCGACAAAATAGTTAATCCCAACCTGGCCTGTCGTCGATGTGGGCATTATGGACACCTCGCTAAGAGATGCCAAGGGCGACGGATACTCTTCTGCTGGGTATGTGGATTAAAAAACATACGGACCATGGACTGCTGCCGGAAATATTCGGGAAACGGCAATCAGGAGCACTCCACCGCGGGGACAGTGACTCCTACCGACAAAAACCCTGCACACATGACAAACAACCACTCTACCTAAATGATGCCCAAGTAATGGCCACCGTACATTTAGACACTTATACGCTAGAAGCCACCATAGATACTGGTGCCTCACGAAGTTTCATCAGTCAGACACTTGTAGAAACTAAGAACAAGTGTCTTAGAAACTAAGAACTCGGGAATTTCGGACCGCTACTAGAGTTCGAATGGCCGACAACACAACGCGTGATCTTACCTGGGGTGCAGAGGTAGCGTTAGGAGATGACACCATTCAAACACAGCTATTGGTATTAGACGGAAGTACAGACGACATAATTTTAGGCATGGACTTTTGCCAAGCAATTGGAACCACGATAACTATTGGAGGAGCGAGTATCACAGCAAGTGAACCAAAGGTACGAACATTGCAATTACAATCCACTACACTCCGGTTGACCAAAGGGGAAGAAACTGAGGAAATCAACAAAGGCTTCGCAGAGGAATTGGAGGGTTTCAGTAACATGTCCGGCGTATCAAACATCACCACCCATAAAATCGTGATGAAGGACGATCGCCCCATTAAGCAAAGGTACTACCCCAAAAACCCGGCCATGCAGCAGGTCATCAACAACAAGGTTGACGAATTATTACACATAGGGTGTATAGAGCCGTCGCGAAGTCCCTACAGTTTTCCTGTGGTACTAGTCAAGAAGAAGAATGGCGACTGGCGGTTTTGCATTGACTACCGTCAACCAAATAACAACTCAGTACCGGACGCCTACCCCCTTCCGCTCATCCACCATATCTTGGACCGGTTACGAAATGCTAAATACATAAGCAGCATCGATCTGAAGGACGGATACTGGCAGATCCCAATGGACCCCAACAGCAAACCATATACTGCCTTCACGGTACCGGGACGGGGACTATTCCAATGGCGCGTATTGCCATTCGGTTTACACTCAGCCCCCGCCACATTCCAACGGGCTCTGGACCAGGTTATTGGAGCTGACTTAGAAGCACATGCGTTTGCTTATTTAGACGACATTATTGTTACAGGGACCTCATTGCAACATCACTGGACAAATCTGAAAAAAGTATTCCACAGACTGAAAGCTGCAAACTTAAAGATCAACATAGACAAGTGTAAATTCTTTCAGACGGAAACTAAGTACCTAGGCCACGTAGTAAGTGCACAAGGCATCCACACGGACCCGGATAAGGTAGCCGCGATTCAAAACTTGCAACCTCCAAACAACCTCAGACAGCTGCGACAGTTTATCGGCATAGCGTCATGGTATCGACGCTTTGTACCAGACTTTGCTCAAGTAATACACCCGTTAACAAGTATGTTAAAAAAGGGAAAACATTGGAGGTGGAAGGAAGCACAATAAGAGGCATTTACCAGAATCAAAACCCTCCTGACCGAAGCACCCATTCTGACCTGTCCAGACTTCAACATAAGATTCTGCTTACAAACCGATGCTAGCAACATAGGTCTTGGAGCAGTATTAACGCAGGAAATAGAGGGCCAAGAACGCGTAATAGCGTACGCCAGTAGACATCTCTCCACTACGGAAATAAATTACTCAGCCACGGAAAAGGAATGCCTTGCCATTGTATGGGCAATACGAAAAATGAGGACCTACTTGGAGGGTTACGAATTTACGGTAATAACCGACCATCTAGCTCTCAAGTGGCTAAACTCGATTGAAAATCCTACTGGACGAGTGGCGAGATGGGTACTGGAACTCCAACAATACCGCTTTGATGTCCAGTATCGCCGAGGGAAACTCAATGTGGTGGCCGATGCTCTTTCACGCCAACCAACGGAAATACTAAGGCAGATCCAAGCAGATTCCAAGAGCAGGCATGAGGACAAATGGTATCAAAAGCGGTTGGAAGAGCTCAAGCGTCATCCACAACAGAATCCCGACTACACTGTTTGTAATAATCAACTGTATAGACATCTGCCCAAGGACACAACAAAGTACCAGGACAACAGTTGCAGGTTATGCGTACCCAAACCCCTGCGGACACGTATAATCCAGGAAAATCATGACAACGTACATGCCGGACATTTTGGGATTCGGAAGACGATCACGAGAGTGCAAAACTAATACTACTGGCCGGGAATGTCACGAGATATTGCTTGACATGTCAAGGCTTGTGAATCATGTCAAAAATACAAGCCAAATCTAAATAAACCAGCAGGATTGATGCTATCAACCGTCCCAAACGAACCATTCGCTGTAGTGTCCGCTGACTTCATTGGACCCTTACCACGGTCTAAATCAGGAAATAACATGCTATTGGTAATAGTTGAATAAACCAGCAGGATTGATGTTATCAACCGTCCCAAACGAACCATTCGCTGTAGTGTCCGCTGACTTCATTGGACCCTTACCACGGTCTAAATCAGGAAATACCATGCTATTGGTAATAGTTGAATAAACCAGCAGGATTGATGCTATCAACCGTCCCAAACGAACCATTCGCTGTAGTGTCCGCTGACTTCATTGGACCCTTACCACGGTCTAAATCAGGAAATACCATGCTATTGGTAATAGTTGACAAATTCTCCAAATGGACGGAACTCATTGCAATGCGTCGCGCCACCAGTGAAAATACCATCAGGGCATTTAGAGAAATGGTATTGGCGAGATTCGGAGCCCCAAAGATTGTCATCACCGACAATGGGCCGCAATTTATCAGTAATTTGTTCAAAAAATGGCTGGAGAAAATGAATGTGAAACACCAGCTCACAGCACCATACACGCCGCAAGAAAATCCGACGGAACGCACAAATCGGACACTGAAAACCCTAATGTCCCAACTAGTACAGGAACAACACACCACATGGGACGAACTACTACCGGAGATCATGCTAGCGATCAATACAGCTTCGTCAGACTCCACCAAATACAGCCCAGCATATTTACTTCAAGGGCGTGAACCTAGATTACCGGCGTCATTCTTTGACGAATGCACCGCTGGAAATGCCGAAGCCTCGCTAACACCAATCACACGAGCACACAAACTCTAAAGAGTATTCAAAAATGTCAGAGAGAACCTTCGGAACGCTGCAGACACCCAGGCACACTATTATAACCTACGGAGAAGAAATTGGAAGCCGCAACTCAACCAGATCGTTTGGATGAAACAACATCACTTGTTTAAGGCTGCAAACGACTTCACCGCTAAACTAGCACCGCGATACAATGGTCCATACAAAGTACAAAGTTCTCACCGGTGATAGCACGTCTCACTACATACAAAGCAGGAAGACCAATCACAGCCCACGTTGCCGATCTTAGAGTGCACATCAGTGACAATACCAAAGAGCCAGAGTAATAAGAAAAAACTCACGACCTCCTGGACGAGGCTGTCCCCTACGAAATCGGGAAGCACCGTTAAGAAAAAAATATAATCTTCAGCAGGCACCCAAAAATACATCAGTCAGTCTTAAACCTAAAAGCTAAACACACGGATCAAAAATCAGCTACAGCAATATGTCAAGTAAAACAAAGAGCACAACAACTAAGAAGCCCATCGACGAAGATAAATTCGTAGTAACCGCGACAAAATGTCGCAAACAAATAGAAGCGCTTAATGCCGCTAGTCCACGCAGCCAGTTATTACCGGAAGCATCGGAACCATCCGGCCAGAAGCATAAGGTGGAATATGCAAGGAAAATTTCCGTAGCACAATGGAAAAACGGTCAACCAACGCCCCGCCAAAAGGCTATAATTTTGTACAAAAAACCAACACCTCGTGTGAAAGCGGTAAAGGGCCCCAATCACACTACACCCAAGATGCTACCAAGCGACCGCATGGAAAAAGGAAAAGCCGACGGATGGCGAACAAAATCAAGCAACCTAAAAGAAGCCGAGACCCCTATAGAGACATCCGGTAACATGCTCAACGAATTAGATATGGCCGCACTAACCGACGAGTTACAATACAGTGACAATAACCTGATGGACCTGCTAAATCGAATGGAAACACCAGCACCTGCAGTCATCGATGACGTCTTCCAACAAATTCTAGCAGGACAGGTACAAAAAAAAGAGCCAGATAACGCCATTAGCAACATCGAGGTAATGATTACAACCGAGCAACCAAAGTGGCCAGAGGATGTGGAGAATGAGATCCAGCGAGTACTTCAATATCACCGACCCGGACAGCAGACAAAGTTCCGACGCACCATCAATAACATCATATATCAAGTACGGATCAGCCGTCAGGGACAAGTCGCAGTGAAGATGGTGCCAAACAACCCGACCTAATGGCTCAGTCACCCCCAAAGAAGAGGGGACATATAAAGTAAATTTTATTTACCTTAAAATATGTATATGCATAAATAAAAATTTACTTTATATATATATATTTTTTATACGAAGTTAATATTTATATGAAATGAATTGCTAGACATAAGTTATTTTTATACAAAGTTAATGTTTATATGAAATGAATTGCTAGACATAAGTTATTTTTATACAAAATTAATGTTTATATGAAATGAATTGACTATATTTAGGCTAGAGTTATTTTTAGAATTTATTTTGAATAAAAGGAAAACAATGGTTATAAAATTTCGTCTACGTAAAAATTATTTAAACAAATAAACAAAGCCAACCGCGAACATACGCACAAACGACAAGCAAAACAAAGCCAACCGCGAACACACGCACACACGGAAAGCAAAACGAAGCCAACCGCGAACACACGCACACACGTCAAGCAAAACGAAGCCAACCGCAAACAACGCACACACGACAAGCAAAACAAAGCCAACCGCGAACACACGGACACACGACAAGCAAAACAAAGCAAACAGCGAACACACGCACACCAACAAGCAAACAAAGCCAACCGCGAACATCCGCACACACGACAAGCATAACAAAGCTGACAGCGAATTATACTTGTGCGGTTGTGCGTGCCATTAAGCAAAGCAAAGTGTCGTATATAAATAGCGGAGATTTTATATGAAAGATCACTTAGCACCGGCACACCGAAACGAGTAGTACTCTACTCCAGCGCTAAGTCTTTTTCTTAGAAGCCCATGGTGTTTCGACGCTAAGGCTTAATAAATCAGTAGAAGGTATTAAGTAGATTTTATAAACGCCTTTGATGTTTTGACGTCTTTGGCTAAAAACTAATTGCGTAGATTTGGAAAAAAACACTTTGATGTTCTGACGTCTTTGGGTAAAAATTATTGAATAGATTTTATAAACGCCTTTGATGTTTTGACGTCTTTGGCTAAAAACTAATTGCGTAGATTTGGAAAAAACCCTTTGATGTTCTGACGTCTTTGGGTAAAAATTATTGAGCAGAGTCAAGCTTAAAATAAATTATCGAGTAGAGTCAAGCTTAAAATAAATTATTAAAGAAATCTTTTTAATAAATAAACTTTTAAAATAATAACAATCAAACAGCTTTTAATTTTCTCTTGGTTTACCAGCTTCGAACTGGTCAATAGAACAAATTTATTGCAACGACCCGGGCCACGACTGAGTAATACCTCAGCAAATTTAAAACGACAAATCCGTGTCGTTACACCATGATGGGACTTGGATCTCGGTGTCGTTGCGCCTTTTGTACACTATTAGGTCTCGGATCTTGTTGTTGCGCTGCTTGCTTCATTTGAACTTGTAATATTTCATGTTTTTGTATGACTCGTGGTTGACAATACTCTGCTGACATTTCTTTGACTTTAGGACTTTGTTCTTGTTGTACTTCTGGTACTTGCACTTTGATAGGTCTCGAATGATGCTCTTGTTGCATTTGTTTCAATTGAACTTGCAATGTTTCTTGATTTCGTATTACTCGCTGGTTATTAAACTCTGTTGACATTTCTTTGACTTTAGGACTTTGTTCTTTTTGTACTTCTGGTATTTGCAGCCTGATAGAACTCGGATCTTGCTCTTGTTGCATTTGTTTCAATTGGACTTGTAAGGTTTCTTGCTCTTGTGGAACTTGCTGTTGCTTAATTATTTTTGGATTTTCTGGGATTAGTTTGCGATCTTGTGGTGATACATGATGTTGTTCCGCGTCACTTCGATGTCACATGCTTTGTGTTGGTATGCTTGCTGCAGTAGTTGAAGTAACAATTCTAGATGTTTCTGCAGGTGTTTGCTTGGCGATTGGCTGGTGTTGCTGCTGGTTGCGGAAAGGTGACTTGGAGACTGGACTATGATTGACTTTATCACATTTCGGTGTATTGGCTATGCGTCTCATGGTCTTCTGTATTATCAGCGGTCGTGCACATTCCACTGCTACGCGCCCGAAGATTACCTCGCTATCTCGTGCTCGACTTACTTCATTCTGCTCTTTGCGTAGTTCTTCGAAGTCCTCAGCTAGTGCTATTAATTCCTTTAGACAAGTGAAATTCCGACGTTTGATGTATATTTGGTACTCTGTGCTCATGTTGCGATATACTCGTTCTAATTGTGACTCTTGATTTAAACCTGCGTGTCGCATTAGTTTTTGTAGTTCCAAAAGATACATTTTAAACGTCTCTCCTGGTTTCTGCAATCGATTCCTCAGTTCGTCCTCCAATCGCTCGAAATATTGGTGTGGTAGAAAAAATTTCAGAAAATCTCTCTTGAACGCTTCCCAGTGATTCCAGTCTTTCTTATTGTATCTAAACCACACCAATCCTTGTCCATCTAGTAACAGGGGCATTGTTCAAGGCAACATGTTCGTTGATATGGCATACAGATCCGCTAATTCTTCCAATCGCTCGATAAACGTCAATGGATCGCTGTTGTCATCATACCGGATCGCCCATTTTCTGACCTGGTCGATGACGCTTGCCTGTGTGTTCCTTTGAGGAAGATACGAGTGTACATCATATTGTGGATGTGTATATAACTGGCTTGCCGTTGTGTCGTTGATCATGCTATGTCGCTCTGATGTTTCACTGTATTCTCTGTCGCGTGTATATTCCATGCTGCTTTCCCTGCGTTACGCAGTTTGTTAATCACCGCCGCAAATCTTATATTGTTCAGTAGTATCCAGCCCTAATTCTCCGAGATACTTAAGTCATGTTTCCGTAAAATAAAAAAAAATATGTACGACCTTCCCATGTTAACTGTGTATTTTACCTCGTTAATGACGGTGGAAAAGTTGTTATCCAAATCGTGAAGTGCTGGTCTCAGGGTCCCTGCTCGGGCGCCACTTGTAATGAACCTTTCCTGGGGTTTGTATAGAGCTGGGGTTGAACTCAGCCGTCCCCAAGGTCCACACAAGAAATTTATTTAATGAGACCCTGTCACTTCTGATTGCTCCTAACTTCTTAGCTGCAGATAGCTTGGATCGAATATCACAGACGCAATGGAATCACTGACAGAAATAGACACGATATAATACCAGTACACGTGACTATTAAAGCTACGTGAGTGGTATTACAGGTCGCCAATCACACGCCCTTCCCTGTTCACTGTTAAAGCGCCCAGGGGCCGGAGACGTTAGGTTACTATTAAAGCTACCTATCGCTTCCGACACTATGGTATAGACTCACGTGACTGTTAAAGCTACGTGAGTTATACCCCGTACAACCGAGACACAGATACTATTGAAGCCCTGAATCCTGCTTACCTATGTCTACCAGTCGTGCCGCTGAATATATTAACAGTTCTTTAATTTACTTCTTTAATAAATCAACAACCTCAGTTCTTTGTGTATATTTCTTGGTTTTAAAATAAAATTTAAATTTTCACAGATTAGTAGTATTTTGCTATAAGTTATTTATTAACAATTCTTTAGTTTAATTCTTTAGTAAATCAACAACATTAGTTCTTTGTGTATATTTCTTAGTTTTTTTAAAATAACATTTAAATTTTCACAGGTTAGTAGCAATTTGCTATAAGTTATATATTAACAATTCTTTAATTTAATTCTTTAGTAAATCAACAACATTAGTTCTTTGCGTATATTTCTTAGTTTTAAAATAAAATTTAAATTCTCACAGATTAGTAGCAATTTACTATAAATTATATATTAACAATTCTTTAATTTAATTCTTTAATAAATCCACAACCTCAGTTCTTTGTGTATATTTCTTAGTTTTAAAATAAGATTTAAATTTTCAGAGATTAGTAGCAATTAGCTATAAGTTATATATTAACAATTCTTTAATTTAATTCTTTAATAAATCAACAACATTAGTTCTTTGCGTATATTTCTTAGTTTTAAAATAAAATTTAAATTCTCCCAGATTAGTAGCAATTTACTATAAATTATATATTAACAATTCTTTAATTTAATTCTTTAATAAATCAACAACATTAGTTCTTTGTATATATTTCTTAGTTTTAAAATAAAATTTAAATTTTCACAGGTTAGTAGCAATTTGCTATAAATTATATGTTCACATGGTAATCTCAGCTGATGAATCCAACACCACAATTTTTCTCGTACCTTTAGTCGCCGAACAAAACAAAAAGAGACCACTTCTTCCTGGTGCACGCACTTTTATACCGTCAACGATCAACGGTGCCAGCTGTAGGTACGTTAAAGTTCAACGACCGTTAATCGAAGCTCGTTAACTGATCTCCCTGCAATGCACCAGTGACAGTTCAGCTTTAGGGCGAATTCCATATTTTACTCTTGTGGAAGCTGGAACTTGTTTTTTTCTTCACGATTTGACCTAGTTCCACAACTTTGCACCAAAGCTTTCTTAGTTTGACAGTTCTGTTTTGATCTCGTTTGTTGTTTATTCTTTTTTTTAATAATGTGTTGTGCCAGTCGAAATGTTTTTAAAGCGTGGTTTTTTTTTCCTTTTAAAAAATAAATTATAAACAAATAATTATGATTATAATTGATAAAACAATCAATGTTAGAAGAAAAATCTGTGAATCATAATGCATATTAATTCCATTGCTGGATGTCTGTTGTTGTGGGGTGACCTGTTGCGTTTTTGGTGTGGCATGTATTGCGGGAGGCTGCGGTGAGTTGGTTAAGTTAATGTGCTTATCCGTACTTAACAATTTTTTTATTGTAGGAACCGTCGATTATATGTATTCAAGTGAGTGTTTCTTTTATTGTGTAGGCAGTTATACCCACGATGTTGTAACGATCAAATTTTAATTAATAAAATTTTGTGTCGTTACATTACTTAGACTGCAGCAAGGTGTTAAAACAGCCCCTGGCATTTTTCAACAGATTGTTGATACAATGCTTAGCGGAACCAATACCATTGGGTTTATTGATGATATGATCTGTTCGGGAATTAATGAAGAAAACCACAAAATTCAATAGTTTAAAACCTTAAAACGTATTCAGGATTATGGTTTCAACCTTCGAGAAGTGTAAGTTTGGAGAAACATCTGTCGAGTTCTGCGGACACACGGTAGATCAATATGGTATCAGACCACATCCAGAGAAACTTCGATCAATCCAAGATCTCCCACCACCTACAAATTTGCAACAAACATGAGCATTTTTAGGAGCTGTAAATTATTATGGGAAATTCATTAAAAGTATGAAAAGCCTTCGCGGTCCTTTAGATAAACTTTTAAAAAAAGATAAGAAGTTTGAATAGAAACAACATCATAATGAAGCATTCAACAATATTAAAAATGTATTAGCTTCTGATCTATGTCTCACGCACTTCGATTCAGCAAAGAAAATAATTTTAGCTACTGATGCTTCAGAATACGATATGGGTGCAGTTCTCATACATCAATTTAATGACGGAACGCTTCACCCAATTATGCACTACTCAGCTACATTCAATGCAGCAGAGCGGAAGTATCCTCAAATACACAAGGAAGATCGATCTCTCGTGTTTGGATTAAAAAAATGTCACTATTACATTTCTGGTCGTCACTTTACCATTCATATCGACCACAAGCCACTTCTTGCTATATTCAACCCGAAAAATGGCATCCCGTTGTTTACAGCGGCTCGCCTGCAACGTTACGCAATCACTATTCTGTCATACGACTTCTCTATTGAATACATAAATACTGACAGCTTTGGATATGCCGATATTCTTTCTCGACTAATCGCAAACCATGTAAAACCTGATGAAGATACCGTCATAGCATCTATTCAATTAGAAGAAGACGAGGACCTCAAAATCAATTGTTTTACGGTAGAAACAGCCACCAAACTTCCAATCACTTTCACTACAATTCAAACAGCAACCAAAGCCTACCATACTCTCAATAAGGTCACGTTCTACAGCCAAAATGACTGCTGGCCTCAAAAGAAAAAACAAATCACAGATAATGAAGTAGCGGCCTTTTTTCAGCATCGACATCATCTTACGATCCAACAACAGAGTATTTTCTTTGGTGAGAGAATTGTTATTCCCAAAATTTACCACCAGCAAGTCCTTGAAGATCTCCATAATGGACATCCAGGTGAATGTCGTATGAAACTTCTTGCTGCTACCAAAGTTTTTTGGCCAAACATTAATCTTGATATCGAACATGTGGTCAAAACTTGTGACACATGCGCTATAGCCTCAAAAAGTCCAATGAAATGTACTCCTCAACAGTGGAAAATTCCTTCTGCACCATGGAAACGAATTCATATTGACTATGCTGGTCCAATCGATAGCAATTACTTCCTTGTTATCATAGACGCCTTTAGCAAATGACCAGAAATATTCAAAACTTCAACTACTACTGCAGCTAAAACTATTGAGTTCATTCAGAAAGCTTTTGCGCAACACGGCCTTTGTGACACGATTGTTAGTGATAATGCTCCGCAATTCATCTCGCAAAAATTCAAAAATTTTTGCGACTTCCAAGCAATTAATCACATATCTACAGCTCTATACAGTCCACAATCAAATGGCCAAGCAGAACGGTTCGTTGACCTACTCAAATCAGGACTTAAAAAGGCTAAGGGAAGTATCACTTGCTATCGATACACACCACCCTGTAATCTCGGTATGAAATCACCATCTGAGCTCCTAAATGGCAGAAAAATTAAAATTCGTCTTGACTGCATTCAACAGCAAAAACAGGAAGGCGAATTAGAAAAACAAAGTAATCAGCAAGAGACAAAATTAAAGCAGTTCAGCATTGGAGATAACGTTTACTATAAACTTCATTCCAATAATAATAAATGGACTTGGATACCATCTGTAATCATAAAGAAACTTGGAGTAGTCAATTATGAAGTCAAAATTGACCAGGAAAGTAATGATGATCTCCACTCTCACCCAGAACTTAACTCAGTTTATGTCAATCATGCAAACTACTCTTAACGAGATAGTTAAAATGCAAAGCCAATTAATGCAAATGTTCTTGTCTAAATAATGAGTACTTTAAAAAATTTGTACATGGAATGCAAACGGCTTAAGCCAACATAAACTTGAACTCACAAATTTCATGCTCAGAAACATATCTAACAAACAAAAATTTCTTTTTTATTCCTAGTTATTTATTTTATAAAACCAATCACCCAGATGGCAAAGCACATGGTGGACAGGTATTTCGATACGAAGGCGTCTAAAACATAACTTTCTAGATACATGATTGACATAAACTGAGTTAAGTTCTGGGTGAGAGTGGAGATCATCATTACTTTCCTGGTCAATTTTGACTTCATAATTGACTACTCCAAGTTTCTTTATGATTACAGATGGCATCCAAGTCCATTTATTATTATTGGAATGAAGTTTATAGTAAACGTTATCTCCAATGCTGAACTGCTTTAATTTTGTCTCTTGCTGATTACTTTGTTTTTCTAATTCGCCTTCCTGTTTTTGCTGTTGAATGCAGTCAAGACGAATTTTAATTTTTCTGCCATTTAGGAGCTCAGATGGTGATTTCATACCGAGATTACAGGGTGGTGTGTATCGATAGCAAGTGATACTTCCCTTAGCCTTTTTAAGTCCTGATTTGAGTAGGTCAACGAACCGTTCTGCTTGGCCATTTGATTGTGGACTGTATAGAGCTGTAGATATGTGATTAATTGCTTGGAAGTCGCAAAAATTTTTGAATTTTTGCGAGATGAATTGCGGAGCATTATCACTAACAATCGTGTCACAAAGGCCGTGTTGCGCAAAAGCTTTCTGAATGAACTCAATAGTTTTAGCTGCAGTAGTAGTTGAAGTTTTGAATATTTCTGGTCATTTGCTAAAAGCGTCTATGATAACAAGGAAGTAATTGCTATCGATTGGACCAGCATAGTCAATATGAATTCGTTTCCATGGTGCAGAAGGAATTTTCCACTGTTGAGGAGTACATTTCATTGGACTTTTTGAGGCTATAGCGCATGTGTCACAAGTTTTGACCACATGTTTGATATCAAGATTAATGTTTGGCCAAAAAACTTTGGTAGCAGCAAGAAATTTCATACGACATTCACCTGGATGTCCATTATGGAGATCTTCAAGGACTTGCTGGTGGTAAATTTTGGGAATAACAATTCTCTCACCAAAGAAAATACTCTGTTGTTGGATCGTAAGATGATGTCGATGCTGGAAAAAGGCCGCTACTTCATTATCTGTGATTTGTTTTTTCTTTTGAGGCCAGCAGTCATTTTGGCTGTAGAACGTGACCTTATTGAGAGTATGGTAGGCTTTGGTTGCTGTTTGAATTGTAGTGAAAGTGATTGGAAGTTTGGTGGCTGTTTCTACCGTAAAACAATTGATTTTGAGGTCCTCGTCTTCTTCTAATTGAATAGATGCTATGACGGTATCTTCATCAGGTTTTACATGGTTTGCGATTAGTCGAGAAATAATATCGGCATATCCAAAGCTGTCAGTATTTATGTATTCAATAGAGAAGTCGTATGACAGAATAGTGGTTGCATAGGCGAGCCGCTGTAAACAACGGGATGCCATTTTTCGGGTTGAATATAGCAAGAAGTGGCTTGTGGTCGATATGAATGGTAAAGTGACGACCAGAAATGTAATAGTGACATTTTTTTAATCCAAACACGAGAGATCGATCTTCCTTGTGTATTTGAGGATACTTCCGCTCTGCTGCATTGAATGTAGCTGAGTAGTGCATAATTGGGTGAAGCGTTCCGTCATTAAATTGATGTATGAGAACTGCACCCATATCGTATTCTGAAGCATCAGTAGCTAAAATTATTTTCTTTGCTGAATCGAAGTGCGTGAGACATAGATCAGAAGCTAATACATTTTTAATATTGTTGAATGCTTCATTATGATGTTGTTTCTATTCAAACTTCTTATCTTTTTTTAAAAGTTTATCTAAAGGACCGCGAAGGCTTTTCATACTTTTAATGAATTTCCCATAATAATTTACAGCTCCTAAAAATGCTCATGTTTGTTGCAAATTTGTAGGTGGTGGGAGATCTTGGATTGATCGAAGTTTCTCTGGATGTGGTCTGATACCATATTGATCTACCGTGTGTCCGCAGAACTCGACAGATGTTTCTCCAAACTTACACTTCTCGAAGGTTGAAACCATAATCCTGAATACGTTTTAAGGTTTTAAACTATTGAATTTTGTGGTTTTCTTCATTAATTCCCGAACAGATCATATCATCAATAAACCCAATGGTATTGGTTCCGCTAAGCATTGTATCAACAATCTGTTGAAAAATGCCAGGGGCTGTTTTAACACCTTGCTGCAGTCTAAGTAATGTAACGACACAAAATTTTATTAATTAAAATTTGATCGTTACAACATCGTGGGTATAACTGCCTACACAATAAAAGAAACACTCACTTGAATACATATAATCGACGGTTCCTACAATAAAAAAATTGTTAAGTACGGATAAGCACATTAACTTAACCAACTCACCGCAGCCTCCCGCAATACATGCCACACCAAAAACGCAACAGGTCACC